AAGAAAGAAAAGAAGAAGAAGAAGAAGAAGAAGAAGAAGAAGAAGAAGAGCATCTAGACCGGGTGACGACACTACCTATTGACGCAGCAACCACTGTAAGTTATATTCTTGTTTAATTGGACTTCTCTGTTTCATTTATTCTACTCTGTATAATTTTTCTGTAGTTATTGTAGCTAAAACAGCGCTTTTGAGAGATTTTAAATCTCAGATCTGCTCAAGTGCAGTGCAGTCGCAGTACTCAAGCCTGCATTACAATATAGGCAGGGCCACTCTGCTGTCGCCCATCAGCTGTAGAGAGTTAACTAATTAGAGGGGCGTGGCCCCACAGCTGTGAGAACTCAGCAATCAGGCGTCCATTTTAGGTAGCTCTCTCCTGGAGCGTCAGCTTCAGCGTCAGACAGCCGAAGACATTGGAGTCACGAGGGAGGCAACTCCTACTCTGATTGAGCTAATTACCGCTGGTGTCTTATTTTCTTTTCTTTAGTTTTCTAGCCCCTCATGCTATAATCATGTGTATTTTCTCCATTCCTGTTCATGTGTCTTCTCACAATTATCACTGGCCCCGTGTATCTCCTAATCGCTATATCCGGCCTGCTCTCGTCTATCCCACATGCTCCACTGAAATCCAACATCTAGTTTCAGGCGGCCTGTGGAACTGACAGTCAGCTGTTCCTAAGGCTGACTTCATCTCTGGCTACGCTTCCCTGCAGTCTCTGGATTTCCTTGCTCTCACTGAGACCTGGATTACTCCATCCAACACATCCACCCCAGCAGCTCTCTCCACAGCATATTCCTTCTCCCATACACCCAGACCCACTGGCAGAGGAGGTGGCACTGGTCTCCTGCTCTCTCCCAAATGGAGCTTTTCCCTCTTCAAGCTACCTAACTTCACTCCTTCCACCTTTGAATTCCATGCCGTCACAGTAACCCATCCTATACAATTAACCATTGTTGTTCTCTACCGTCCACCAGGCGCCTTGGGGGACTTCTTGGAGGAATTAGACAATCTCCTCTCACACATCCCTGAAACTGGCCCTCCCGCTGTACTTCTCGGAGACTTCAACCTCCAGACAGGGAAGATAGACTAACTAACATCTCTGTTAACCGCCTTTGCTTTCTCACTGTCTCCGTCCCCACCAACTCATAAAGCTGGCAATGTCCTTCATCTCATATTCTCAAGGAACTGCACTACTTCTAACCTCTCTGTAAACCCGCTCCACACATCCGATCACTTCTTCATTTCATTCTCTCTACCCCTTTCCAAACATAACGAACTAATCTCTTCTCATCCTGCACCTGTCCGCCGTAACCTTCGTTCCCTCTCCCCCTCTACCTTTGCCTCATCGGTGCTCTCAGCCCTCCCTTCCTCTGACTCGTTCCAACTCCTGCCTCCAAACTCTGCTGCAGAAACTCTCCTCTCTCCTCTCTCATGCTCTCTGGACTCTCTCTGTCCTCTCACATCTCGGCAGGCCCGTCAGTCCCTTCCTGCTCCCTGGCTAAATGACGCACTGCGTGCTAATAGAACCGTCCTTCGGGCAGCAGAGCGGAAACGGTGGAAATCCAAACACCATGACGACCTCCTAACCTATCAGGCTCTCCTCTCCTCTTTCTCTGCTTTGATCTCTCAGACAAAAAGCACTTTCTTTCAAGATAAGATCCAATCTTCCTATTCCAAAAAACTATTTTCCATCTTCTCCACCCTCCTGGACCCCCCCCCCAAAGCCCCTCCCCCCTCCTGTCAAGCGACTTTGTTAACCACTTTGAAAAAAAGGTTGATGATATTTGCTCTTCTTTTTCTGACTCACCTTTACTCACCACTGGGTCACCAAACCCTCCTTCCACCCACACACTAACCTCCTTTTCCCCTCTCTCTCCAAGTGAGGTTCTTACCCTCATTACCTCTGCCCGCCCTACCACCTGTCCTCTGGACCCTATCCCTTCAAACCTCCTTCAGATTATCGCTCCTGATATTCTACCGTTTCTCTCCCATTTCATCAACACTTCTCTAACTTCTGGTCACTTTCCAAACAGTCTCAAGGAGGCAAGAGTAAACCCTCTCCTAAAGAAACCCACTCTCAACCTGTCTGATGTTATAAACTACAGGCCTGTCTCTCTACTCCCGTTCCTGTCTAAAACACTTGAACGCGCTGTCTTTAAACAACTCTCCTGTTATCTCCATCAGAACAACCTTCTGGATCCGCACCAGTCTGGTTTCAAGGCAGGTCACTCCACAGAAACTGCTCTCATTGCTGTCACTGAGGAACTGCACACTGCCAAAGCAGCATCCCTCTCCTCTGTCATCATCCTGTTGGACCTGTCTGCTGCATTCGACACGGTGAACCATCAGATCCTCCTTCACACTCTCCAAGAACTTGGAGTTTCAGGCTCTGCATTTTCCCTCCTCACCTCATACCTCAAAGACCGTACCTACAGGGTAACTTGGAGAGGGTCCGAGTCCGACCCTTGTCAATTAACTACAGAGGTCCCTCAGGGCTCTGTTCTTGGTCCCCTCCTCTTCTCCCTGTACACAAACTCGCTCGGATCAGTCATTAGCCCGCATGGTTTTTCATACCACTGCTACGCTGACGACACCCAACTAATTCTGTCCTTTCCCCGCTCAGAGACCCAGGTCGTCGCACGCATCTCTGCTTGTCTAGCTGACATCTCTCAGTGGATGTCTGCTCATCACCTCAACCTTGACAAGACTGAACTGCTTTTCCTTCCGGGAAAAGATTGTCCCACTCTTGACCTGACAATCAACATCGGCACCTCTGTTGTTTTCCCCGACTCAGACTGCACTGCAAACATAGCTGCTACAACCCGCTGCTGCAGATACACACTTTACAACATCAGGAAGATACGTCCCCAGCTGATACAGAAAGCGACGCAGGTTCTGGTCCAGGCTCTCGTCATCTCACGCCTAGACTGCTGCAACTCCCTCCTGGCTAGTCTACCTGCATGTGCCATCCGACCTCTGCAGCTCATCCAGAATGCAGCGGCTCGTCTGGTCTTCAACCTTCCTACATTTTCCCACTCCGCTCCTCCGCTCCCTTCACTGGCTTCCGGTAACTGCTAGAATCCACTTCAAGACACTGGTACTTGCATACCATGCTGCGAATGGATCTGGCCCTTCCTACATCCAGGACATGGTTAAACTGTACACCCCAGCGTGTGCACTACGCTCTGCATCAGCCAAACGACTCGCTGCACCCTCGCTGCGAGGGGGACCCAAGTTCCCATCAGCAAAAACACGTGGGTTTGCTGTCCTGGCTCCAAGATGGTAGAATGAGCTCCCCATTGACATCAGGACAGCAGAAAGCCTGCACATCTTCCGGCGCAGACTGAAAACTCATCTCTTTCGACTCCACTTCGAGCGATAGAATTACTAACAAAGAACTGCTAACAGAGCACTTATATACTAACAAAGGACTGGCTTATATATAGCCAGTTGAGTAGCACTTGAAATGTTTGGCTCTATGAAACCTGATGTACTTATATGATTCTGTTTTCCTCAAGGTTGTGTCTTCCTGGTCGAATGTACTTATTGTAAGTCGCTTTGGATAAAAGCGTCAGCTAAATGCAATGCGAAGAAGAAGAAGAAGCTTTAATGATCCCCGAGGGGGAAATTCAGTTTTTATATACATGTGAAAGAGAAACGTAAGCATAAAAAGCACGTGTGTACCTGAGTGTGGACCGAGGAGGCGGCCGTCACCTCCACATTGAACACTCCTTTGTGGTTATCCACCCACTTCATGCCTGGGAGCTGGACCTACCGCAGAGTGACACCCAACTCAGTTAACACTCAGTCCCATCACAACAGGAGAAGGTAATGACAGGCTGACTGATATACACATCATCTCTTTCAACACACTCACGTCAGGGGTGAGCACAGAGTAGCTGGGCGGGGGCTTCTCCACAGACACAGGCAGACTGAAGGAGCCGGTGCGCAGTCGGCCATGCTGCATCAGAGGAATCCACTGCAGGCAGACAGAGAGACACGCGATCACTCACCGATGGCAAGACAAAAGAAGGAGCGATCAAACGAGCAAGTGTGTGGGTGAGGAGTGTACTCACAGTGTAGCCCACAGGGGTCTCCAGGGGGGTGTTCAGCTTGGTTTGGCAGCTGATGTGGTAGAAGGTGAACAGGAGATGGTGGTTGTCTGTTAAATTGGCAGGAATCTTCATCTTTATCTCCTCATAGAACTCAGGAGATCTGTTGGCAAGAGTTAAACACAATGTTAAAGGCAAGTTGGACAGACTCCAGTGCAGTGAAGGTCAGCAGGAGACGGGGCCTTACTTGTTATGGTAGATGATGGGAGTGTACGCATCCTGCATGAACTCAGAACTACTGGACTTCCCAAAGATGACCTGGTCAAACAGCAGAGTGTACATTTAGTTTCTCCTTGACAAATAGGAGGATATCCTTTGACATGAGTATCCTTATGGATCTGTTGGATCATTCAAAGACTTACACTGTCAACAAAAACAAACTGTTTTTAAGTTTCCCTCTAGAGATGTGTTTAAACTAGGGCTGCAAATACAGATTATTTTCAAGATTGAATTTTCTGCCACAAGGTGGGGTAGATAAGTTTGAGAAACCGGCTCGAGATACACTTTTTGTTATATTCCATGGAATGCTCTTAACATCCCGACAGCAATGAATATCTTAAGTGCTTTGACAAAAAATCTGTGGAAGCCGTAGTACTGTAAAAAGCACGACCAATCATTTTAGCCGGCCCGGCTAAAATAATTGGATGGCCTACCTGCCTGTCAGCCTTCCATCTGTGCACAAACTTATCTCGTGCCCTCATTGGTCATGTGCTCGTTCGTGTGTGTTGGAGGAGGGGCTCTGTAAGGAAGTGGTAGATTTGTTCCGGCTGTGTATTTTCAAATTGTAGCGCACTCGAGCTGGTTTCTCCAAAATGACCTACCCCACCTTTAACTGATAACCATTTAGGCTGTGAAACTTTGAAAAATAGACATTACAATTTCACAGAGCAAAACTTGACTTCTTCAAACACATTTGTTTTGTTAAAGCAAAAGACCAAATAACGGAACATATTGAGCTCAGAACGATGAATTATGTAAAGCCAGGAAAACCCTCTCATGAGGCTGGAATCAGACAATATTAAAATCGTTTCACTATTTCTGCCTGAACAATGACTGAAATGATTCATAAAACTGATGAATCGATAATCAAAATAGCCAATTGCCAATTACTTTTCATGCTATCGACTAATTGTTCAAGCTATTTCTCTTCAGACCTTACATTTTAATACTCTTATGGTTCAGTTTAAAGGCACAAATGTGATTTCTTAAAAGAAATTAAATATTGTTTCTTCTCAAAAACTGAAAGCCTTCTAGTCTTAGACTGCGTTTAGATGATTCTGCATAGTGAATGTCAAACATCCAATCAGGTTACAAGAAACAAACAATGTTACTTTAAGCCAGTAATGCTTAGTGTGAATCAACCATTTGATATTCAATAAACAAAGAGTTCATAAACAAAAAAGATCACTAAGTTTTCCTTCCCTCTGTGCTCGGATAAATGCCCCTTTCATTTCATTTCAAACCTTTATTTAACCAGATTGGTCCCATTGAGATCATAGATCTCTTTTTCAAGGGAGACCTGCAAATTTGATGAAGCTCACTCTTCCAATAAACCCTTGTATACCATTACACTGCTGCAAGCTGCCCTTTGTGACTGGAGCTTCTTTATACTGAGTGTGACTCACCGGCAGAGCTTGACTTGGGTCCTCTGCGGCCATGAACTGAACCTTTACAGCGATGTTTCTCACGGACCCCTGGCGACTGCTGAAGTTCAGACTTTGTGGGTAAACATAGAGGAGATTCCTGAAAGTCAAAATAATAAAAAGGCAGAAAATGAGACGACAAGGACAGAATTTAATAAAACGACAGCAAATCCATGAAGGAGTTAAAGGAACTTTTTTTTTTGGTTAATGACATCAAATGACAATCATAAAATAACATAATATACTAAGATGTAGGCAGCCTAGCTGGATCTTGTTATGTTGTCTGATTCTGTTTCAATCATTCCTGAAAACCTACAAAAGCATTTATTAGAAAATCAAAAGATAAGATTTCCATGTGTGCACACGAGGGGAAAGTGTGACCCTGTATTGGCTAAGTGAAAGTAACCATAACTACAGTCCAAGGCAAACATAAAGAGGTAACATTTGTTCATATTTTATTTAAACAGCGGTGTTTATTCACTTGTCAAGAGGCAATGACACACCACAAAATCACATAACTTTAAAATAACTTCATAAATGTACAGGGCAGATTATGATTATACATGTTCTGTATCAAACACACAAAACCAGATTTATATTAATGTATTTCACGTGTGTTCGTGACCTGAATGACTAAATGTGTCTCTCAGGGGTTAAAGCAGGCAGGGCCACAGTCTAAGGCCACAGACAAGACCTGGGATTAAACCCCAGCTGAGCTAATGTTTCACTATGGTATTGCATGTAGACATACAATATAAGGCGCACTGACCACCCTCCGAACTCTTCATCCACTGGGGATCCTGATGATGCTAACATCTCAGCTGCGACAGAGAAGTACGCCTTGAACCGCCACAGTGAAAAAGACATTAGACCGCAGTGAGTTTGTGACTGCTGTCATGAAGATTATCTGGGGTCTGTGCCTGCTATTTTTGGCCGAGGGTTTGAGAGCAGTCCATGCAGCTCCGGTCAGGAGGAGGACCAGCGAGGTGAAGGACAAGGCTGCACCGAAGGAAGAAGTAAATATTCTCCTGTTCGGCGTCGTACAGTTCAGCGAATCGCTCAACTATGTTCATGAAACCACCGAGGCGAAGATAGTGAAAATCAGCCAGACTTTGAGGAGCCATGAGGGGACTCTAGAAAAGCTGAAGAGGCAGACTGAGCAGGCTGTGGAGGTGGAGAGACAGATAAAAGCAGCCATAGAGTCGCTACAGGTAAGAAAACACCCAAATATGTAAACAACAGATTCTTCGGGTGCTGCTTGTGTTATTGCAGGAGAGATAATCGCTGACTATCAAACTGCAGATCTAACGTGCAGGAGCAGAGGGGATAGACACAATATGTAGAGAATGTAAAATCGCAGACAGATTACAGAGAAAGAAAATGTTGAATAGACATACCAAAGCAGATCTATTCTATGTCTACAAAAGCGCTAATGCAGCTGTTCTTAGTTACTGTAGGCATCTGACTCGTTTCCTTTTGTAAGACCCTTTTCCCTGATGTATATGGATCAATGAAGCTCTTTCATCTGAGATAAGAGTGAGGGTGTCGTTAGAGAGCTGCCAGCTGCACTGGGATGGTTGTTTGGGGACGAGGATAATATGTGCAGATGCTGCTTTGACAGGCCCAGATGGCCAAGCAACAGGCTCAGACCAACATGACTAAAGACTGGCTGGCCAGCGTGGAGCAGGAAGAGGTGGAGCTCCAAACTAAAGTGAAGAAGCTGGAGATGTATCTCAACACCAGCATCAGCATCAAAGAGCTGCAGGTAACAGAGCGCTGGAACGTAGAGATAAAAGACTAGGGTTGGGAACCGAAATTCGGTTCCAGATGAGAACCGATAAGAAAATGCCGGGTACCGGGGTACCCGTACAAAATACACAATTTTGGTTCTGCTTAACGGTTCCTAAACGCGGTAGACCCTGTATTCCACCGGGTCCGTCTGCGCCGCGGTGACCCGGTAGAATACAGGGTAAGGGCGGACTGGCCATCTGTGTGTTCTGGAGAATCACAGAACGGCCGGTCGTCAGCAGGCTGTTGACGGCCGGCACCACCGTTCATTTTTTTAAACGGCATCATGTAAGTTGCGCTGACATAGCTCAGTTAAAATAAAGCACAGCTATTGTGCAATACATTTGTATTGCATGTATATTTTTTATTTTAAAAACGTCAGTTAAAGCTTACAAGAATAAAGATATTTTTGTTATCTAAACGTTTGACCTCTTTATTTTACAATTTTGGAATCGAAACGGGGAATCGATAAGAACCGGAATCGATAAGCAGAACCGGAATCGGAATCGATACATTTCAAACGATACCCATCCCTATAAAAGACACACTCTCACTGTAGGGCTGCACGATTATAGACTCAATTATGACCATGATCATTTTGGATCATTGTTGAGATTACGATTATTTATCATAATTATTTTAGGGACAACATGTATTACACTTTCACATTAAAACATCCTGCTCTATCAATATAAGCCCTTACATTTAGTATGAAGCCAAAACCAGGATTCATTTTCAATGCTTTTGCAGCCTTACTTCACCGTCACACCAGCCTGTACTTGCTTTTGGTCTTGTAAAAGCACAAGGCGACCAGAAGTATTTAAACACCAGTCACTGATTGGTTACTAAATAAGTTCCCTTTACTATATTGCCATTTTCAGAAGAGAGCAGAGGAGCAATTAAACACCTTGAAAGGTTTACAGCATTGGACCCAGTTCCAGAAAGAGAACATTGAGACTCAGAATGAGCAGCTCTCCAAACTAAAGATGATGGTGAGTCACTTGTTAAGTCTTTTGAACGTTTGTTGTTTATATTTTATTACATTTATGTTTCATTTTCTTCTTTCAGAGTGAAGCTAAAACATAGACTTTAACATTCACGACTGAAGTCTCCCAGACTACACTGCACTCCCTTCCAAGCCTGCAATGTGTGCGAAAGATCTGCTCTAATGCCAGAAAACATTTGTCTTAGTACTCTTATGATTATGTGCTTGTTGTTGCCGCTTTCTCCGTTTGTGTCTGTTCTTAGTCTTGACTTTGATGCACTACTAATCTTTGTTTTTAAATGGAGCCTATCAAATCGAGTTTTCTAAATGATTAAACATTCTGTTACACCAAAGAAAATAAATGTGTATTTTTGTTTTTAAGTTTAAAAAGGAGAGGCAGAAGAAATCAATCTGGACAAATCAATACCTAGACAAACACATTGAGTCATGCATGTGATAGAGGGGTGAAAGTATATTTGTTCTACGAGTCAACTTAAGCAATGTTTGTGTAAACGTGTGTGTGTTTAAGGTGAACACACTCACCTGTAGGTTGTGTGAGGGGTGTATACGTAGCGAGCAGGGAACTCCAGCACGTCTTTGGTCGGGCGCACACGCAGGTCGGGGTACGGCTTCACGTGCAGCAGCTCCGGGGACAGACAGTAGTGAGGCGAGTCCGGAGCGGGGGAGATGTCGATCTTCAACTGGGCTGAGGGACAAAAGATAGGAGACTGTTTATACAAAACATCCATAAAGCCTTTTCATGATCCGTTTCAGTTATATTAAGAATGCTCTCGTTAACCTGTGACAGGCCTCAGTCGTCTCAGAACAGATGATGGTCTGCGCATATCTGCCAGGTACTTGTAGAGGTCTTCATCACTCAGTCTGTCCCCCTCCTTCATGGACACAGACAGGAGCAGAGTGTGTATTTATTATATAGTTATAATAGCAGTGCTTCACTACAATGTTAACTACTTGTAGTATTTGTGAATATTGTAGGCTCAATTTCTAATGTGTATTTTATCTTAAAATACTAATGGAACATACCATTTATTAAGTATTGGATGAACTTCTTTATTTTACGATACATCCTATAGTAAAAAGCTGTGTGATACGCTTTAAATGTTAAAATGGCATGTGTCCAGTCTTTTTGAAAGTCATCCATTCTTGAGTGGTCTGTTGTCAAACATATAAGAGGTATGTAAATACATGTAATAGATTATTGGTAGCTGTTAGCGCCTCACCTTGTTGTCGTTAAAAGTGACAATACTCAGCTTTATTAATAAAGTGATATGAGAGTCATTTGTCCCCATTACATCACATCACAAGATGAACAACTAAATGAGTCATGAGAGAGTCTGACCTGTTTGAAGAAGTTGGTGACGGTCAATGTTGCTGGACGGAAAGTGGCAAAGTTACACATGTCGTCCCCAACACTCATCCGCTCGCACCCCTTTTTCTTTCTGTCATTCCATGTTCCGTGGCCCTTTCGCTCTGGCAGGAGGAAACAACATTAGAGCGGCATGTGCATGAATGTGACCGCTACAGGGCTTTGTCACTGTAAAATGAATGCTCTGTGTACCTGCATGCTAGAACATTTTGTAAAACCTAGGATGTGTTTTAAGTACCAGAGTCGGAGTCAGGGTCCGAGCGATCCAGACCCCCCACACTGCTGACGATGTTGAGCAGGTGAATGGCCGTCCAGGCGAAAGGCATGCGGAAACGGCCGAGACGACTACATGACTGCTCTGCCTGCAGACGCAGCTTCTCCAGCTTCTCCTTGTGCTGAGCAGACAAAATAGGATAAAAAAAACATCAAAAGAAAAAGTTAGATTGAAAATAACTGCAATGGCCAACCGAGTTGACCTGCCAAAATGGATGGTAAATATTGCAGCTTGCCGGACAGAATTGGGTAATGGTTTTTGACTAGACAGTAAAATGGTCCCATGAGCACGCTGGCCGTCAGCCTTGAGCATTGCAACAATTTAAACAAATATGTTTTTGGGTCCATTACCTTGGAGGAATCAGACTCTTTCATAACCATGTAGGGTTCACAGCATTCTCCAATGTCTCCTTGTTGAAGGACTTTCTCAAGCTGAAATACAAGAAGACGGGTTTTACACCATAAACAACATTTTTTTAATAACACGCTTATATTTGACCTTAGTTACGCAGCATTTAAATGCCAAATTAAATGCAAACAAGGTAATAATGACCTGTTTTTAGCTACTGACTCTGGGAACAGTGCTGTTCTTATACTTTTAGACCTGACAGCTGCCTTTGACACTGTAGATCACAGTATTCTCATTTCTCGCCTGCAACATTTTGTGGGAATCAGTGGTACTGCTCTAGACTGGTTTAAGTCGTATCTGTCTGAAAGAAGTTTTAATGTAAATCTTAAAGAATTTACTTCCTCCTCTGCTCCTCTCCCATACGGGGTACCCCAAGGCTCCATTCTTGGGCCGATTTTATTTTCCCTGTACCTGCTCCCCCTGGGCGCTATCATTAAGAAATATGGTGTCTCATTTCATTTTTATGCAGATGACTCGCAAATCTACATGCCCCTGAAAATAAATGACCCAAACCCTCAGCAACACCTGTCTGACTGTCTGCAGGACATCAGAGCCTGGATGGCCTTGAACTTTTTAAAATTCAATGAAAAAAAGACAGAGGTCATAATATTTGGACCCAGTGGTGGCCCCAATGCCCCGCCTGGGCTGGATTCTCTTGTCCCATATGTGAAACCCATTGTCACAAACCTGGGAGTACGGATTGATCGTGATTTTAAACTAGACAAACAGATTAACTCTGTGGTCAAATCCAGCTTCTTTCAGCTAAGACTTTTAGCAAAGGTCAAGCCTTTCCTTTCTTTTAATGACTTTGAAAAGATAATACATTGTTTTATATCCACTAAACTGGATTACTGCAATGCTCTTTATATTGGAGTGACCAAGGCTTCCCTGTCATGCCTACAGCTGGTCCAGAATGCTGCTGCACGCCTCCTTACAAGGACAGGCAGACGTGAACATATTACGCCTGTACTCGCCTCTTTACACTGGCTACCAGTCCATTTTAGAATACAGTTTAAAATGTTGCTGTTCGCATACAAGGCCCTGAACGGTTTAGCCCCACCGTACCTGGCAGATCTTTTAAAACCATACACACCCACACGGTCACTGAGGTCTGCTGACAGACTCCTTCTGGTAGTCCCAAAATCGAGGCTAAAGCAGCGGGGAGACAGAGCCTTTGCTGTTGAGGCTCCAAAGTTATGGAACGAATTACCCCTCCAGGATAGACTTGCTCCAACTCTGCCTGTTTTTAAATCTCGCTTAAAAACCCACTTATTTTCCTTGGCTTTTACTGTACAGACCAGGTGACACTTGTGCTGTAAAATGTGGTTTTTATTTATTTATTTTTTACCTTACTAGTGTTTTGTATTGTTTTTACGTCATATAGGAGAGTTTTTCAGTCGGTGGCTTCTGATCTGGTTTCATTGTCTCGTGTATTACATTTGTTTCATGTCCTGTCTGTTTTTATGTATTTATGCTATGTTTTTATACAGTTGTTGATGTACAGCACTTTGTTCAACTCTGTTGTTTTTAAATGTGCTATATAAATAAAATGGATTGGATTGGAATACAAATATAGTTTGTGCCATTAACATAAAGTCAGATTCTTCTGTTTACAATTAGGTTCTCTCAGTACCTTAATGACCAAGAAGATATCGGCCGAAGGGTAGGTGATGGAGAAAATGGCAGAACGGGCCAGTGTGGAAATGGCTACGTGAGGTGTGTGGGGTTTAAGCATTCCTTTCATCTGATCTGAGTTCAGGTCGAAGTAGAAATTCTCAGAGATCTGTTGGAGGGAGGATGGAGATAAGCAGGAAACAGCAGAGGGAGGGGGAGAAAGAGGATAATGGCAATGCACGTTAAGGGAGTTTTATTCAGTTTTAATTCAGTCATCTAAACCGCAAGACCACTTAGAGCTTCTTGAGACAAGGGAAATTCAATTAGGTAGGCATGAGCTCAGCATTACGTAAGCGGTTTTACAGAGTCAAAGTAATTGGTAGAATAATGATCAAATAAAAACTGATCTGCTTGAACAAAGAAAAAATACCTTTTTCTTTTCCTTGACGTCATACAAGGCAAGTGTTCCAAATATTGGCTCAATTTCTATTTCAAACCTGAAAATCGGAAAAAAATATAGTTGGAGAGGATCGTGGGTATAATGATTATATGATTTATTATAATGATCATTTCAGACATATATTCTAAATGTTACTCACTTCAGAGACAGGCACTTAACCATGATCCTCTGACCACAGTGTTCCTTAGGCACTTCAGGGGCAGAGCATCTCTCTACTGCTTCATCCTGTCACACACACACACAAAGAGCCATGTTCAATACACACACCGGCATGACATTTACACAGATGTCATGGCAACCTAGTGGCAGAGAAAGCCAAAGTGTGTACATAGATATAAAGGAAGAAGGATGGAGCTGGAAAAGGAGAACATTGAGGGGGAAGAAAAGCAAACAGTTGCTGGGTTTGTAGACATTATGGACCTCCACTTTAAGCGAACATCCAATTATGTGACTGAGCTGAACAAATGGAAACTAAATCTACCAACATTTCCAAACGAGTCCTGCTGGTTGCAGTAATAATCTCTGAGATTATTCACTAATATAATAAAACACGCACTGAGGAGTTTATCGCTTCAATCGTCTACATTTTTAATATCAACACTGATTGGACCTCCAAATAAAAGGGAATACCATTTTTAATATACACTAGCAATCATTAAAAGGTCCCCTATGATACTGTTTTTCATCAATATATTATTGGTCTCAGATATATACAAATGTCTGAAGTGTTTGGCTCCAAATACCAAACAGATCATTGTAGCATCCCATAATCCCCTCTGTTTCAGCCCTGTTTCAAAAGTGCTGATTCTCTGTCTGTTAATTTAGATGAAAATAAGGAGCCCCTCCCCACGCCCCTCTGAGAGATATTTGGTTAAAAATAACACAATGGTGCTCTAGGAGGAGATTCAGGTGATAAGGTGGGGGGGGGTTACCTTGGTTGGTGATTGCCTAATGCTTACACAAGCCAAACAAATCTTATGACATCATAAAGTGGCCAAAATCTGATCAGCTCATTTTCAGTTTTTATATAAATGGATCGAGACAAAAAGTGAGCTAATCTTTTTTCCTGAAACTTTCAGAGTCTCTTTATGCAGAGGGGACACATGTTGATGTAGAAAATACATGAAAAACTGGATTTTGCATAATAGGTGACCTTTAAGTATCTTCTGTATATTATAAATTCACAGTTTTTTGACAATAACATAGCTTTTACTAGCATGGGCAGATATGGGATGGTGTAATTTGAACCTCATCGGGGGGCGGGTAGAGGCCCAGCAGGTCGCTGTGGCGCCCCTGCAGGCGGGCCTCAGTATTGCGGCGGTCCATGTCCTCGGCGGCTGCTCGCTCCAGCACAGACGGCAGGATCGCGTCTGGGGAGGAATTCTTCAAGTCGAAAATACTGGAGGCCCAGCTTCCCCGAGGAGTCTCATCGAGGCTGACTGAACGCCGCTTTGCATCATCCTGAAGCACACGAGAGTGAGACAAAGAGGTGAGATCATGTGTTTTTCTTTCCCCCTTCCAGGCAAACATGTCACCTAAGTGCTCACAGCAGATGATTTAGAAACACAAGGAGAACAATATGCTACAGATCTGATAACCTTTTTACCCCTTTAATATGACTCATGTGGTGACTGTGGAATGGATAATGGTCAAGGTATTTCCATTGATCCATTACTCATTCTCCATATGATCAACTCGCTGAGCACAATACGACTCATACTGCCTTCCCCATCATGAGACACAAGCTTTATTGACTGGCTTCACTCCACCTGAGCTGCAACCATTAGTCAAGTAATGGATCAGACAAGCAACAGAAAATAAGAACAGACTTTTTGATAATTGGTTATTTGTTTGGATAATGTTTCACGTCATGTTTTTAGCATGACAATATGGAGATTTCCGGCTTTATCTATAGTTATTATAATATTAAACGGATTATATTCGGGTTTTAAAACAATTTTTAAAGACAAAACTTTGGAATCTTATAAGAACATACTTCTTTTTGGGTTTTGGACATTCTAATGACCATTTCGATTGATTAAAAAAACAAAAACAAGAAAAAACTAGCTAAGGCCCAATTCTACAACTCTCTTGGTCCAGGTACCAAATCATAGGAGTTCAGGGGCATATTAAAGCCTTCTTAGCTTTTCCTCCTGGCAACACTTTAGAGATAAGTAGATAAGTCTAATGAACCTTAAAAGACTGAATGGTCACTCAGCGGTCACGATAACAAGTGCTTTGAACATCTCCACCAGCTACCTGGTCATCATGGCGCTCCGCAGCAGCCTCGTCCAGCTCAAAGGTCTGTTTGTGCAGCCCTCGCTGCCTCTCCCTCTGCCGCTCAGAGCTCTGAGGGCTGTACGTGGTGCTGTAGCGCTGATATCTGAAGGAAATCAGAAGAAAAGTTTATATTAATGTTACTGTCAATGATGGGAACAGTGAACTGGGAAAAGTAGATGAAACATGTACTTGAAGGATAAGTCAGCTGGTACTACAGCTGGCACCACTTACTTCCTTTGAATGACGAGCCAGTCATCTGTGTAGACTGCCAAGGCATCTCTCACTCTGGGATCTAGAGAGCTACATAGGAGAAAAACACATTAATAATTGAGCAAAGCATGCTTTTAATATTTATGTTCATTCAGTGTCCCAGAGAGAAAGGCTTTGTTCTTATCTCTGGTAATGCCTGTCCTCCATAACAGTTATATTAATCCTCTGTGTGTGGAGAAGTATAAAGAAGACCATAAAGGGATGTGATGCAGTACGAGGGTTGGGTTGGCCATTAGTGGGACTCACTCTTCCTCCTCAGGCAGTGGGGGCTCCAGTGTAATGCACTCTTTGTCCAGCGGGAGGAGCTCCAGGTCGTCCTGGGGGAACTCCATGAGCTGCCGGAGCGGGCCGGGCTCCACCCCCGGAGCGTGACTGCTCACATACTCTTCGAAGTCCACAGGCTCAACCACCTCCGTCAGGGGCAACTGTCAATAAAGGTTAGACTTTTAGGTTCACATTGACATGGCCATAATCACAGATCATTATCTGATCAGCAAGATCAGAAGGACTTACAAGGAGAAGTAGAAAGAGACAGGATGCCGTGAGGATGGATCATGTGTTTTTTAACAATTATTCTTAATTTTCAAGGAAACGACTGCTTTCTGCAGAACCCCTGCATGACTGTTGGAAAACACAAGCGAGCAAAAGCAGCTCTATCATGTTTCAAAACCCTGTGCACACAATCATCTGATCTCCTTGTAAATGTCCCCTCTGTGGGACGAATAAAGGTATTCTGATTCCTTGTATCTAAACTTAAACTTAATATAAGCAAGTTACTCATCAACTACTGATCTTGCTAATTGGCCCTTTCATCGGCTGGCAGGTTAAACACAGGGTGACTCACAGGTTGGTGTGCGCCTCGTTTCTTGGACAGCTGAGGAGAGCCATAGTCTCTGGAAACTTGTTTTCTGACTTCTGCAGCCACCGTCCTGAGAAAGAGAGGAGAGAAGTGTCAGCTGGGAAACACTCAACAATGTACAGACATGATGAAGATTAACTGTAAAGAATTCTGTTAATGGGCAAGATCTGTGCTGTTCAGGATTTATACAAAATAAAGTAATTTGATTTAAGTTGATGCAGAAATGTCATAATCATGCCAATGTTTGCATGCTTAACTTAGGGATCTTAGAAATCAAACCACAGCATTAGAAACTAGGCCGCATTCATTAATTGTACAGATATCTGCATGAATGAAATACTTCTTTTAATTGATGAGGCTAATTATGTTTCAGATTCTGTCCTAAAGTTCTATAAACTGTAAAGCAGAAGCTCTTTAGCTTCTGGTACTGTGAGGGAGGGCCAGCAGCTGTTCTGAACAGCGACTTGAGCGGATCTCACAGAGAGGTGGCGAGCCGGCTCCAGGGAGCAGGCACAGAGCCAGAGCTCTGTCCGTGGCCTTCATAGACCAACGGAAAATGGGAGGCTTATAGGGAGACAAAGCAGGAAAAAGAAAAAAAGTACAATCCTCTCACAGAGACAGCTGCTCCTTTACAACCACATAATGTCTGCCTCTCTCATATACACAGCTGTGAAGGCTTCAACATTTCCCAAACCATAGTTCTCATGATTACACAGCTACAGTTCATGCCGTCATTCCATCAATACACATGGACTGTAAAGCAGAGATGAATGACCTCTCGCCCAATCTCTGAGATACAACAAGACTTTCTGACGTGGCATTATTTGAAATGAGTCTATTTAGAATGTTATGATTTTATAATCACTCGCTGTATCCTTAAACCATGTGGAAACAGTTTGAGCAGCCTTGATTTAAGACAGGAAAAAGGGAAGCTATCGACCGCAAGGGCAATAGCCTGAACACCCCTTCCCACCCTTTTCCTGCATCCGGCACAAAACAATGGACTGGGACGCACTAAGGAGGGCAGACAGGACTTTGGGAATGCAGTGGGAGACTGTCCAAGGAAGCTCATTTCTCTACAGGACATGTTATTGACGATCAGCAGGTAAAGTGACAGGATACTAATCAAAACAAAGCCCCCTTGTGATGGTGCCTGGTCAAAAGTATAAAGAACCGCTGTACTGACATGATTTCAGCAAGTTTTTCACTTTGGTGAGAAAATAATTTACTTGCAGGTCAATGATAAGAATCTGTCATCCTGTTTCTTTTCTGGAGAAGCTATCTGGATTTGCAAGGCAAAGCTGTTTCTTTAGATGAACTGTGACGATAAGCACTGGTGAAAATCAAAGTTTGGAGGATCTTCATTCATGAAAAAGGGCTATTGTAGCATGCAGGGAGGCACTTGGTTGCAAAGACTACCACTGTTGTTATCCCATGCTATTCAAAGATCCAGCTGACAGATGTGACATGCCGTTACGACTTGTCCTGGAATCTTGTCAAAATGTATTAAGTATAGTGACACATACTAGAGGATCATCCCATGCTGCACTAAACCCTTCCAGAGAAGGGAAAACCAGTTTACAACATGTGGAAACAGGTTGCTACAATAATGCTGCAAGGTGTTCACACGAAATACGAGCAAAATATCACAATGGATGTCACTTGGTAGTTAATATTACTTTGTTTTAAAACTCACAATGAAACATCTGGGACATTAGATAAGCCCTCCGCTTCACAATGTTATCCTGCATTAACGTTAGCTCATGCATTGTTAATGACAATGCTCCGGCGATGCTACGCTACGGTACTTAAACAAAACATGCTATTTAACTCTTCAGTGCCACAGATATAATATATGGGAGCCCAAACTGCTTCAATGGAGATGTTTTATTTCAGGTAGGTACAGTGGTGTTTAAACCGACCGGTTTATAGTCACGAATACGCTTCAAATCCTAGCTAACTGGCTATGTGTCCAGCAGGTCACTCTCACCGCACAACTGTGCGTTAGCTGTTAAACAATAACTTCTGTTACTGCCTCACCGGTTGATTTTATGAGCAAACGCCCTCCTCTCGCTCGCGGTAGATGTCATTTCTTATCCCCCATGTAAAGAAGCTTTTCGAAGACAACTGAAATCACTCTCCTCCTTTGCTTTGGCTAATACGTCCCGTCTTGTGTGGGGATGCGGACTTTCTCGGACGGCTTCCTCCTCCACGCTGGGACCGGGCATCGATCCTCCCTGTTCCGCCTAGCGGCTGGGAGCCAAACAGCCAAACCCGCCGTTAGTGCATGCGTTAGTGTCAAGTCCGCAAGGACACATGCACTACATCCGGTGAAACTTCAAAAATAAAGTACAAACTAAACTCAGATTTGCATTTATTATAATGTTCTGTTTACTGTCACGGCATTGAGATTTTTTTTTTAGCAGCTATTTGGTTTATTTGTATACTATACATAAGTCGATTTTATTGTATTAAGTTATAATAATGTAGAATTTTCCATACCGGAAAAAATAGAATAGCATAGAACATAAGTAGAAATATATATAAAATGTAGTTTTATAAAATGTCTCTTTAAGGATCAATAATAGTTCAAGGATAGTTATCATCGCAATCAAACAATGAATCATGTTTTACCTTCAACACTAATAGCATGCATTGTTTGCACAATACATAATTATCAAAGTAAATATCACCGGGACGCTTTACTGTACTTCCGGTTTTACTACCTTCCCCACTCATTTGACATGCAGCTTGCTGCAGGTGGCTTCATGCACGGTCTGTTCATGCAGAAATCTCACCTGACCGGTTTACAGCAACCTGCTACTGTCTGTCGCTGATTCACCTCAGTTTAGGGGTTTCACTGGTTTCATTTCTGTGTTAAATTTAGGAAGCAGGACAGAAAAGTTTCAAGCCCTCAGTTTCTCTCACGAGATCATAGCCTACTCTAGAGGTGATTACTTTACTTTCATAACGTGACTTTGACTGCCTGGCATGAAATGTTCTATTTTAGTCAAACAGGATTGAACATTTCTGCCGTTAGCTTCAGCCCTCAAGGGCGTATTTATGTATTGTTGATGCCAAGTTAAATCTCATTAGAAAAAAACTGCACAATAGCAACATCTAGAGGTCAGCTTGCACGACATCATCATCTTTAGAGACGTGTTGTATTGAAACTCTAGCAGCAGGGGGCGCTGTTTACCATGATTAGAGAAGAAAGAAAGCCTTGCCACATCGGTGATTGTTTAAGATTCAGTCCTCAAATTTGACCTCTACGAGAAGATGAGAAATAGCTGCAGCTTTGTTTACTGGCTCGCTGCCTAACAGTGACTGCAAAAAAACATCTTCCAAAACAAAAAAATAAGTAGCCATTAAAGGGTTCTGGATTCTTTAAGGAGGGCTAAACAAATATGTCAGAAACTGTTTATTTGACGGGCTCTTTCTTGTATGTTTGAGCAAATGAGGAATGACATTGTCAGTGAATCTTCCCACCAATGAAGGACTTGTCAGTTTATTATGATGGCAGGTCTTCATCCCCCTCCTCCCTACCTGCACTCCATACCCCCATGCCTACTATGAGGAATTCATATAACAGTGCTTGCTGCAGCAGCCCTCCCCCACTGCTCTCTCCTTCTACCCCACAGTCGCCCTATTCAGCACCCTGGAGAGCTGCTGCAGGTACTCGGCCGTCCTCTGTGAGATGGCTGATGAATGGCATGAATTCTATACGAGGAATGTGAAAAATGGAAATGGGGGAGATGGAGGTAGAAATTAACCTTGCGTGACAGGGGCTTGGCTGAAGCCGAGCAACGACAGGCGTCTGAGGGATATATGTTTATGTATGCAGCAGCAGTCAGAGCAGCATTAGAGCTCGCAGCCGGCACGAGTCTGGTCCATAGACAATGCTAACGAAAAATAAATGAAGCTTGTGCTCACGTCTCTCCCCTTTTACAGACATTTATAACAATGATACCATTTCTTTATTTGTTTTACTTTATATTCTTCTCAAATGTTCAGCAGATTTATTTTTGTAAAATTAAAAACACGATATTATTGTTCTCCAGGAAATTGATATGCATTTACTTTTCAGACATTTTCAATTTCACTAAACTGAATAAATATGTTTCGAATTATTTGCTATGAACACTTAAGTACACAGTGTACATACACAGTGTTGTGTGATCGTTTGACATTGAAATGTCCTTGTACAGTTGGAAGCCCACCTAAGGGGGCTGAACCCATGCATGCTTTATCCTTCGGTCTGCACCTTCCCTGCCTGCTTCCTTGCCTTTCTGTTCATCGAAGGCTTTCAATTCCTAGATCGGCACTATTGTTTGAGTGCCCAGCCCCCATGGCAGCGAGAGCCCCCCCCCCCCTCCACCACCACCACCACCATCACTGCTGTGTTACCGAAGAACAAAAGAGAGAGTGTCAGACACCACCCACTAGATCTCTTTCACACCAGAGCCCCCACCTCAGTTCCAGATGGGGTTGCCTTTTTTCAGGGTTTCTCTCAACCCCAAGAGTCCTCCAAAATTGAGGCACCCCTCCCCCTGGACCCCACTACTCAGCTGCCCGTCATCCACCTGCTCCGCCGCCACGCGCCCGTGGCCAGGGCACCGCCCCTCTCCATCCCGCCCCACCAGGGAGTCCTATTAAAATCATTAACCACTCTTTGCTGGGGTCTGTTTCCAGGACATCACTCTGCCAGCAGTAAAAACTTTAACAACATTATCTCCTAAATAGAAAGCACCAACACACATTTTTATCTTTTAGATAAAAAGTAAACACAATTACATAAAAAAAAGAAAAAAAAAGAATACACATGCATTAGCTGTTTAGAAAAACCACTCATGGTTTCCTAAAACGTATGATTTTCATTTAAAATCATACGTTTTTTAAGTCATTCTATATCCTCCTACTCCAGCTGCTCCTAAAACAGGATGGAGGAATTACACCAAAGTTAATATTGTGATCAATAATGCTAATTCTCTCCGTCCTGTGGTGGTGTCTGATACAAGGGGCAGGCAGATGCTCATTTGTTTATATCTCTCAAATCATCAACACGTTGCGTCTTCAAGAGAATCTGTGCTTCGACCTCCACCCCTGAATTGACCTTTCCCCTCCAGGGACAGAGGGTTAGCAACAGGACACATCTGCTACAGGACAGCTGTTACGTCTCATAATGTCGTCCTACAGTCAGGGTGGGGGGCTAGGGGCTAAAGGTAATCATTGCTGAATCACTTAGTTTAAATCTGCTTAATTACTACACAAGATTCAAACCCATACCTCTTGGTATTCCCCCCCCCCCCCCTTCTTCATCCACAAAACAATATATTGTGCTAATCAGATACAGACTTAAGAAAGATATGTTGCATTTCTATGCTTATTAGCTGACAAACTGTGAAGAATCAATAGTATCGTGTACAGCAACACTTACAGTAAGGTTTAGCTACAAATATGCACAGCACACTCTCTCCTCTCCCTATTACATGCTTGGATGCCTGCTATGCCATCACTCACTAACCAAGATTTATGGAAATGTTCCAGCTCCTCTGAGTGCAGTGCAGTGCACGGAGCACGCTGCTATTACTGTATGCTTCATCTTTCAATGTATGCAGATATACGCATATAGTATGTTTATGGATTCTTTACACCACTTGCTTTATACTTTTTACAGGTTCTGTGCTGCAGGAAATGACTAAACCCCCATCACCATTACCACTACCCCCATCCCACCACCATCCTCCAGTCCCTAAGGGTTCAAGCACCCAAATCAATTGAAAGAAAGACGAGTGCTCTGTGGTCCTCCCCCTACATCTGTCAGAGAGGGAAAGCAGGAGGGGCCCCACTCATGGGCCGAACAGGAGAACAATATCACTCCATCTGTCACAAACCGTTTCATCTCTGATGGGATGAAATATAGCTCACAAATACATCTACTTCTATATCATCTATGTGTATTCGCTTACCGGTGCCCAAGCCTCTACCAATTACCAGAAGCATACGCACTGGCTTTTTGTCTCACATTACCTTCCTCCCACCACATAGCACTCTCCAACCACCTCGCAAATTATGCTTTTAAGCCTTTTAACAGCATGTTAAAGAAAATGATTCCACTTTACACAGCAAACCAGTTAATGAAAATGGAAGACTACCAAGTAATGAAATTTGCATGTGAAAAGTTGTCAAATGAATGTGCAGAGCAGCGAACCCTAAAGCTTAATGAAACAGCCCACACATATTTTATTTGGGGGAAATACTGAAGAAAAAACAAAGTGAGATGCAATCTGTTAATAACCAGAGAGCTCTTTCATATTTAAATGTTGCTGCTGCTGTGTTTGCAGGATGGGTGTGGCCCGCTGATTCGTCTTGCCTGCTGAGTTGTCGCGGCTTTGTGACGTCCACGATCCCATTTGCTCTATCAAATCATGCAATCGGACTGGTCACAGCTCAGCGCTGAGGAAAAAATGACAACCCAGACAATACCTCCACAATGCTTCACACTGATCTCCGACAGAACGAGGTAGCCCAGTGATCCAGTAAGCTGTAAGAACAGCACAACATGGACTGACTGTTTGCTGGAGGAAGGAACAAAAAACTAAAACCCATATCCCCAAGAGCCATCATGTCTCTCTGAGCAGCAGGTAGCTGCAATCTCAGTCATTCATATTTAATTCCACAAGAGTTTCCGGCCGGACTAATGTGCTATTGATTTCAAGTGTCCTATTACTGAACCAGGGAGGGTTATGATGGGGAGAGAGATGGCCTACAGGGAGTGAGAGCAAGAGATTGAAAGAGGAGAGGAGGAAGATGGAGGGTTGAAAACAGAGTGCAATGGCTAAACCAGTGAGTTTCTCTAGGAAACATGATCATTTTCCATTTATACAGACCAAGCTATCGATCTAATATTCATCTAATTCTTTGTTGAATAAAAACGGAAGACATTTTACATGAAAGCTCAAAGAGTACATTTAGGTTAAGGCAGGAAATGTGTTGTATATTATTCATCGTTCATTAAAAGTCAGGCCATTTACAGCTCTGCTTAACAGGCAGGCATACTTATATCTCTGCTTTCGTTTTGTGTCTTGTCACTTGTGTGTTTTGTTCATGTCAGATAGAATCAAAGCAGCAGTAGGAAAAGGAGCAGGAAAAAACAAACAAAGAGAATGTCTAAAAGCTTTGTGTATTTAAGGTTTCTCCCTGGATACCAGCTCAGACAGGACAAAATGAAAGATTATTAACCATGGCTTTATA